TGGGGGGGGGGGGGGGGGGCGGAGGGAGACAAGCGCAAGAGCTAATTGCACGATCGCCTTATTGGCACGACACAACTTGTTTACCGACGGTGTGCGCGTCTATAGCCACAATGACGAGAGTTAAGCACGACAAGAGCGGCGGAACTGAAGTTTTGCGCCGCAGATAGCCTGACCTGCCAGCGATAGTGACGTGAATCAGGTGATGGTGCTGAATCTACGGCACGCGCGCACGAAAGCGAGCGAGAAAAAATAAGGCGGAGAGACAGAGAGAGCGGTCTTACCCAAATTATGTATCAGCGGCAAGACATGGCGGGCGGGGATGGTGAAAGAAACTTCAACGAACAAACCAAGCCATTTTCATACTTCGCAATTGGCTGGAACACGCGTGGGTATCTACATTTTTGGAACCGCGCCTCACTTTAATATCACGGTGGGCCACTCCGTTCTTGTGCAGGAAGCTCAGCCCCTGCATTAGCTGCTCGGTGTACAAGAGGGAAACATGTTCCTCGAAGCCCCCGAATCGATCCAGGAGGCCCCGCACAGAGCCCCCCGGCATGTACTCCAAAAAAATAAACATTGTGTTGCCCTTGATGCTACTCCCGTACGACTTGACGATGTTTTCGTGTCTGTTTGGGTTGTGGCAGGGGCAGAGGGACGCCGGAGGCAGGAACGTCACAAGGGGCAGAGTGATTCTCGAGTATATGAGCACACAGCAGCGATGCATGGCACGTTGTCAGCGGCCTTAACACCTTGGTAGAGAGTGACAGAGTCATCGATGGTACAACGCTTATCAGTGGTCGTGTGAGTACCACTTATGACGAGTCCATAACGATTGCATTGACAGTCAAGACTCCAACAGCAACAACAACAATAACAGAGGCGTAGTCAGGGGGGTGTACTCGTGTAAACGTATGCCGAAGTCGTTAGACCATTGACCTCGCATCCCGAAAAAGCCGGAACGGAGCGACATGCCCGGTTTTCGCCGATCCAGGCTACGTTTCACAAGGATGAACCAGAAGCTGGTGCGTGGGGGGCGGGGGCGGGAGTTGCGTGTCCTTGCAGAATTCCAGCGCCCCTCCGCACCCAATTGTCCACTGTCCTAGAGCACGGCAATCGCGCCGTCGAGAGCTTCGGCGTTCCCAGCGTGAATCTAACCTCCAAAGCTCACCGGTTGTCCCGAAGCATGGCGATCTCGTTCTCGAAGGCCTTTGCGTCTCTAGAGGTCATGTCCCCCCGGTCCAACGAAATGCTCTTGACAGCCATCAGTTCGCCCGTGTCGAGATTCAGGCCCAGGTGCACGGTGCCGAACGCCCCAGCGCCGATGATATCACCTCTGAGCCACCTAAGGGGATAGATGGGGTTCCTGAAGGTCTTCACAAACCGTGAGGGGTTAGGGACGGGATACGGCCAGGAAGCCTCCAACGGGCCATTGCGTATCCCGGCCGAAAAACACAACGGCATGCACGCTGTTGAGCAGCCCCCCTACCGGATACCCTACATCCGACACGCACTTTCCTCCGTCTCCTACTGAGATGCGTCGTCAAAAGGCCAGAGAGAGGCAAAATGACCGCCGAGAAAAAAATCGCGACTTCTGCGACCCCGGAACTCCTCACCTCACGGGGTCCACGTCCTCGCCTCGTCGCCACGGGTTCGGTCCCTCGTGCCCAAGCCCACGAGTCACTTCCGGCACCTTGGGGCCGACCCCAAACGCACCCCTCCACCCCTCTCCGCCGCCGGACCCCCTGTGAGGAGCAGCAGAAGTGACGAAGTCGCCGCCGCCGCTGCCGCCGCGAGGGAAGAAGGAGTTGCACGAGGACGTAGTCGCTAGCCTTTCGAGCACTTTCGCCCCGTCTTCTGCTGTTCCAGCGGGACATGAGCTCTGCCGTTTTGTGGAAACCGAAGGGGTAGGAGGGGCGGGCGTACTCGTTGTTTTCATGCCTTTAGTCTTTAGATAATTGACCACGAGTCTTCAAGAGGAAGGGACGACGACGTACTAACCATTATTGATGATTTAGTTGTTATGCCATTGACCACGCGGCTTCGAGAGGACGGAGCATCGTTCCCACAGGACCGATCACCGATGACCAATCGCTCCTTCCTACTTCGCACAAGGACGCCCAAGAACGCTTTCCCTACCCTATCGATATCACTTCCCGACTTTTCAGCCCACTTTCAATACGCCAGTATAGCTACCGTCTTCTCGTGACGAGGGGGGTGGTACTCATGTTTCGCATGCCTTAGTGGTTAGACCACTGACCACGCGTCCTCGAGAGGACGGGGCGAAAGAGAGTCGAGATCACACCTGCGTCCTACGTTCCACCTTATCGTCCCGGCTATGTAGGAGGGTCTCTTGCGCTACACACGGCGTATACGCGATGACCAAACCCCACGATTCTGAAGCTCCTTCAAGATTGCTGAGCTCTCGTGGTTTGGCACACTTGGGCTGTTGAATCAGCTGTTCGTTGTACCGTCCGGTTGGAGCGAGGTCATGACAACGTACAGGGAAAAATGCTCGAGCTTGCAGGGCTCGGTCGTGCTCGACTACCCTCTGGTAGTCAAGTGCACGTTCGGCGGTGGGCGGCCAAACGTACCGACCGTGCCGAGCATGTCGGGAGGATTCCCTACCTCCGGCCATGCAGGACAAGTCGACCAACTTCGTCGCGAATGGAAACACGGCAACAACCACGGGGAGATGCGGGACGATGCAACGACAACACCTACGAGTGTTTCTAGCTTGACTCGGAAGTCACCATCGCATCACTTCACAAACACTTTCAGCAGGGGAAGTGGGCCACTGCGAGGGTTTTGGGGCGGGGCGTGAGGAGAGCGAGCTCGTGACATTATCGGTGGGCAATAGCAAAGACAACACAAAGCCTCACCGCGCTCGATTCACGAGCTTCACTGGCGGAGGAAGACCTCCTCCTCCTCCTTAGTGCCTGCTGACGCTGCTCCTGGTCCAAGTACTGACGGGCAACGCTCATCACGGCAGCAGCATCGACGGGCGGCGCGGCCCCGTCACCGCCCCAACCCGGAGCGTACGGCGGCCCCGTCACCTTCGCGCACCGGTGCTCCGGGTGATGCTTCTGCTTGTGCTGGTGATCCCGGTACCCCTGCAGCTGCTGCTGGAGCGGCACCCGGTGCTCGACCAGAACCGGCCGCTCGGCGCCGAGAGGCTGCTGCTGGAAAATATCTTCCGGATGAACCGACGCGGGGCTGGCTCTACGTCCCCGGGCCGGGGGGATTCGTGGGTCCGGTGCGTGCGTTGGCTGTGGTGGCGGCGGCGGCGATGGTGGCGGCACTCGCTGCTGATCTGTCATTACGGACACCTTGATCAAGAACGGACCGTCATCGCTCGCCAGCAGCTCGGCCAGGTCGTTCTCGCTGTTGAGCATAACCTTGGTCGCAACGACGGCCGGGGGTCACGGTAATAAGTACGGTTACGTACACGGTTACGGTTACATTCACAGCGACGACATACCAGAACCTTCAAAATTGCGGGTACACACAGCGACTGCGCCGAGAATTTCAGGCCAGTCTTTTCAAGGCCGGTGTTCGTGAGCCTGCCTCGGGGGGGGTTCGGGCACGCGATCAGGGACAGGGTAGGAAACGGGATGCTCTTCTTGGTAAAAAACATCACCTCCGCAGCCAAGATGACCGAGCATAAGGTGTAAACTGCGTGGTTCTGAAAAGGTCGCGCTACAGCTTCTTCAACAGAACACTTTTTCGTGTGTTCTTAAGTGCTTTACAAGTGATCCCCCCAGAGTGGGCTCATCACGACAGCGCAGCGGCATCAAAAGGGGTCATGCAAGGACGCGATACACACAGGAAGGACCACCCACAGCTGGCTGCCAGCTGCAAGCTCCGACGTTTCCCAAGCTCGACAGCTCACCCAGCCAACGTGATTGTGACCGGAAGGGTCCAGCGAACCTCGACGACCCAAAACGAACACTGCACAGATCTGTATACAGCGTTAAGCTGAACCCTCTTGCTTATTGCCTGTTGAGGGGTTAGGGAGGTTACCACGTTCAAGGTCGAACTGCAAAGAAAAAAAAAAGCAGCCTACAGAGAGGAAAGGCTGACCAACTGGTTCGAGTTCAAAATGTCCGTGTGGAAGCAAGTACAAGCGTGCGCTCTCTACGTTGGGCGCACTGCCCTTTCTTCTCCTCCCCCTTCTTGTTCCTGTTCCTATTTATTTTGTTTTCTCACTTCGTCTCCATCTTCATCTTTGTACTCCAGGAAGACCTCGAACTTGAAGTCCTCGCACAACCGCTGTGTCACGTGCAAAAAACAAAATCGCGAAACGCGCGGCCAGAGACGATAGTGTAAACAAGCAAGTGCCCCCTTTTGTCTGAGAGATCGTACACGCTTTTATGTAAGGAAATGCACGCAAAAAATCAAATAGAACACATAAGTACAACGGTAGAGACTACCCGTTTGGGATATTACCACAGTCGAAGGGGATTTGTTGAAGTCGTTACAGCGAGTGCGTGAAACCCCCAGCTGGATACTGGGCGTTTTTTCGATATTTTGTTGCTGTTGGGAACGTGCCAACTTTGTTGTCACTGCCCGCGCCGCCGAGGTTTCGACCTGAATTCCTACGGTGTGTGGGCGATGTCTTTCGAGCGCGGGAAGCGGGACCGGGGTGGGCGTAGTGACAGGCACGATGCCACCTACAGAGGAGTGTGTCAAAGCTCTGCGAAGTTGTAGCTCCTACCGTACCATCCGCACGGAGGTTGGTCGCACGTTCGACACCAAGGCACCCCCGCATCTTCAAAAAGTATGTCGGTACGTGTAACGGAGTTCGTAGAGCTCGCCCAGGGTCTGTCTTGCCACCCCGCGCTAATCACCGTGCTCAACTTCCGTTGCAAAGAAGTGAACAACCACTCTACACGGGAAATAACGACGTTTCAGAGCAGCGCCCACTCTCCTTGATACGTCCTTCGTTATCGTTTTGAGAGAAGCGCCTACTCTCCATGAAAACTCAGTTTCTTTTGTCAAGCATTACCCACCTTCAAGAGGGTTGTTTTCCTTGCAAAGTTTCGGGCATATTTCCCACGCAAGCTCGAACGCTAATCAAGGACCCTGACACACGCCAACATGAGAAACCTCGCCCAGCCGTCTAGAATATTTTTTCTTTATTTGTTGCACGCACTCATATCCCCACGAAACCGTCTCCAAACCCATCAATATGCCGCCGCTATCGCTATCTCTATCGCTATCGCTATCGCTATCGTTCCAAGCACTTGTCTGTGCTCGAACAAGCCTGCCGCGCACTCCGTGGGTACAAGTCTCGCCAAACCTGTTTGAGCTTGGCGAAGGTGTACTCCTCGTGCACCACGACCACCCTCTTGCTGCCGTTGTACTCCAGCTTAAGCTTAACCTATTGTGCAAGAAAATACAAAAAGGAAGGGCACAAAGAGGGGCTTGGGTAGGGGAGGAGTCGGGGAGACAGAGTAAGAGTCTTAAAAACGGAATGGGGGATAAGGAGAGCGTGCGTGAGTTGGTGGTACTCTTCGGAATGATAGCAAGGTGGGCAGCGCACATCATCTTGCGGGGGTGGGCGAAAGCTGCCCGACACACCGCTATTGGTGCTCCGAACGCACAGCAGATGACGACACATAGATGGTACTTTATCCACACGCCCAACTGCTTCTCTTCACGACACAGCCACCACGAGCATCGCAAGACTTTTCGGGGGGACATAAAAAATGGGTTTATACCCCGGGTGTGTGTGTGTGTACTCATAGTCATGCATGCCGTAGTCATTAGACCATTGACCTCGCACCCCTGGGACGGAGCACGCCTGATTCTCACCGGACCAGGCTCTCACGTCACCAAGCGCGAAGCATCGTGAGGTATTCGGCGAGTCGCATGAAGGGTGCGCTGCGTCCTGCTCAGGGTTTTCGGCATCTTGTGCTTCCTTTTTTGCGAACGGGAGACAGCTGCGTATGACCTAATTTATTTTCTGGTGCTTTCACTTCCAAGCCCAGTTAAAAGCAACGTATAACTGCCTCGAGGATGCTTGACCAACTTAACATAACGCTGTGCGATCATTCCCCTTGTGCGGTGTGAGGGTTCTCGACCCCGCACAACATGATCTACTCGACCACCATTCATGGCTACCGCAAAATGTATACCCCGGAGGATGGGAAAAATGATCGATAAAATAAACAATCGATATGCTGTTGTCAGTGTTGATATGCACCCCGGTCAAGTTCCACAGTCTGCCACGGTGGTGATCTGTGTCGCTATCTGCCTTATGTGTGTGGTGTGCAGGGGGCACGTGTTTGGAAGAGGTGGGGCGTGACTAGGGGGGGGGGGGTTAGAAGATATCCCGAAACATGCCCAACTTTCGATCATATCTCACCCGGCAAAGCTATGGGTTATGGATGTCTCTGTTGACTAGGGCCCGGAAACGAGGATTTTTCCCCCATCCATATTCAGTACTGTAGAGACTCCAACCCATGCCCTTCGACTGCTGTGGTTGTCAGTAGTCTACCCCGCAGGAGGCTCTCTTCGACCAAATATTCACTACTGTATGTGTACGTAAACTTGTACCAGGAACAGCAGAACTGCGGTAAAAACTGCTCTCATGTACATTAAGATAATATTCTATTTATTCACAACAAAGTTTCGGGAGCGGTGACACCTCGTCCCCATAGGGAACCGATCCTATGCTTATAATCGCTGCACCTATACTACGTGTCGCGACCCATGCCGAGTGCGATGCCTTACGAAGTCGTCGTCAACCCTTCGCGCAAAGCAGCGGCAGCGTTCGCGGATGAACAACTTGTCTGTTGGACTGCGTCAGCTGCACGCAAGCACGTCGCTCTGACCTCGAGCAGCCCAACAGTGCCTCCGCGCCGCCTAACAATAGACAAACTAACGGTTCGCTTGTGGCGTCAGCCCTACTGTAGGTGCAAGGTGCGACGTAGGAAAAATAAATACACACACAAGAGATTTACCCGTCGAGATATACCCACATTCGAACGGGATGTGGTGGGAGTCTTTTCGGTGAGTGGAGGCAAACTGGCTGGGTACTGGACTTATTTCGAGCCTATGTAAGTCGATACACTGATGATATATATCAGTGATACCAGCTTGTGCTAAGTATAAAAGCATAAAGGTAACCTACATTTTTTTCTACCTCTCCTGTAGAAATCTACTGGGTCAACGAACAAAATATCGGAGAGAATCCCTCCGTCATGTCGTGTGTTGTAAAATGTATCCTTCACAGGGAACACGGCGCAGTATCTTTGTGACAACTTGCTAGTCTGTTAGATACGATTGGAGGATTTTTATAAGGAAAACTGAACACACAAGAGAACAAATATACACACAAGTACAACACAGAGAACCTTGGAAGAGATTACTCGTTTTTCAAATTTACAATCTGAATTTTTCGGGCAGTTGTTTCCCGCCGTTTTTGAATCTGCAACATGGCATTTGACCTTTTGGGGTTTACGTATCATTGATGCATGAGATAAGGTTAGTACACAGGGTGCATGGTAAGTAGGGCATAACAGTCCGGTTGTATCTTGTTTAGCTTGTTTCACGTCATGTTTGGTGTTGGCAAACAGCAGGAAAGAAGAAGTTTTCAAAACAACAGACTGTATGGATGGACTAGTTGGGCGACTTCCCTATTGTCCTCAGAGCGGTTTGCCGAGATATCTTGTTGAAACTATGTCGCAATCACGTTGCAGAGCATCCGTCATGAAGGGCAGCAGCGGCAGCGAGTAGCAGTTGGCATCTCCGAGAAGTGGTGTACACATCTTACACAACACGTGCAGAGTTACCCACCTGGATGCAACAGCGATCAGCAGAGGACGATGTGCGTCAGCCGCCAGGTCAAAACATGGGAGAGCACCTTTGAACGAAACCCGATACAGCCTTCCCGCCTTGCCTCAAGTCCTATCGGAGGGGCTATATATGTGGTACCATGGCAGGGATCCGAATCCCGGCTGCTCCTAACACAATGGGAGGCTAACGGTAGGGATCAAACTGCGCATGCAGGAGTGCGTTGCTCTGAGGTCTACAGGGGCCGAACAGCCCGCTGACGTCTTGAAGCCATTCGTCGGCTCAAGATCCCTGAACCGACCAGAAGATGACAAGAGAGCCAGATGACCGGGTGAATACCGGTGTGTAGTAGCTAAAATGTTCGACACCAAGCCTAGGAGTGTGGACAGCAGTGGGAGATTACAGAGTCGTCGTGCACTAGAGACTTACACGGGTGGTGTGGGTTTCTGGAGACCAACCGGGCGGCATGAGTTTCCTTTGATGGTGTTGTTTCAGAAGGACTTCAACATGCTCACGGCGCCTCCGTTCTTGCCCCAAGGCTTGGGGATCGGTGCGCCTCACATGCATAATCATGAGATATGCCAGGCTGTCCAGG